GTCTTGCGGCAGGTATGTGAATAAGCTATCACGATAGATTTCACTGGGAGTTCACGAGATTACAAAATTCACAACGTGAAGAAATTTGCAACAAAGTACAAACCTCAAACACTATCCTTTTCACACGAACTCTAACAACTTGACGAATGGAAATTTTAGATATTAATGTTTTTATTCTGGCCGACGGAATTAACTTGAAAAATAAAAGAAGGCCGACGGCAGGTTCATCGTTCAGATAGAATATTAAGCAGAGGGCTATAGAGACCATGTTAGTATTCCAGGTCATTTCAAACTGACACGATTAAAGAAACAAATAACCTTTTCGCAATACAGCCTGTGTTTCACGTTACTTGGTCAAAATAGCTGCCGCCAACTCAATCTAGCCGCTCTGGTCATGTGACAAACCAGCACCAATCACATCGCAAGTGCTACGATTTACTTGCTGCACAAGGCGTCATAAAAAAACGGATTTTGCCTCGGATTTCTTGCCCTGCTATCCAGCTAAGGCAGTATCTGGATTCGAAATCTGATTAGCCTCTTTGTTTATCGAATAATAATAATTTTATGAGGGATGGGTTGTCTACAGGAGATTATAAACTGATAATCTCTTGTTTGTCTAACTTTTTTCCGTTTTATCGAAGTCAACTGAACATAACAAATTTTACCGTCCAAACTAAATACCGCAAAAGAAAATTCATCCAAAAGAAATTTATGCAAGTTTTTCCAGTGGCCTTATGCCGTTTTTCTTTGAGGGAGATGCTCATATTACGTACACAGGAATTCTTATCATCACACAGAAGTCTTCAAATCACGGATTTGATCTCATATCCTACGAATTACCTCCAAGAGTTGTTAGAACGCTTTTGAATTGAGTGTCCTAAAACAAAAACCAACAGCCAATAAAATGAAAGGAAATACTTTAAGGAGCCAATAGGAACCCAAAGTAAAACAACAAAACCAAAGCACGGGAAAACGAGGGCGACCAAGTCGTGATTGCTTTTAGTTTTGCATCTGATTGGATGAGAGAGTGGCTCCAGTTTTCTCGGCCAATTACAGTGCGAAGGAAAGGAACAACGATGATACCTCGGATTACTTTCGACCAAAGTATTAGAAACTATTGTTTGGGGCTGCTAATGAAGAAATTGAAAAAATTGTATCATTCTGTTAGAGTGGAAATGGATAATAGAGGGAAAGTAATATCACTAGTCATTTTTGTGGGGAAGCAGCCTCTCCCTCTTCTGCCTACAGGTCCCTTAACCCTTTTAATTCCCAGAGCTGATTAACATGAAACTTCTCCCTATAATATCCACTTAGTTTTCTAGCAAACAGTTAATAAGAATACTCAAACTTATCAGGGAGAGGTCATCTTGATCTCAGACCATATTCTCATAACTAATTTACTGGGCAATGTGTAGCAGCAAGAGGGGAGAATTAACGATAAGATCTTGGAGGTTAAAAGGTTAATAACTACATGGGATGAGAGGGGGGGGTTAGTGTACTGATATCAATACACCATTAAAGTACCAGCCCCAAGGAATGAATTTTGAAGTAAGGGAGTACAGAGACTGCATTGATTGTGGAGTATTTTAAATCCTTGGAGTGACCAGCATCTCAATTATCCTTACAGTAACACTGCTGAATCATTCATCATTATGATGAGATAAAAGGACATAATTGCCCAGTACCTAAGAAGCTTGCATTGATAAATGAGTTGTCCTTGTCAGCACTAAAGGGAATGTGTAGAGAAGATTATGGAGAATATAGATCATGATCTTAGGGTGTAAAGAATTAATGACCACAGGGAAACTCCTCTTGGAGTCCAGGGTCATTTTTGTGTTGAAAATTTTGAAAATTGACCATCCATGTTGGCCACAAGGAACCCTTTCTGAGCATTAGTTTGTTCCTATTGGGAAGAAATTTTGATGCAATTTTTCCTCCAAGGAGTGAAGTAAAGGGGCACTATCCTTATTCCAGCAGCTGGTACTTTGGAGTATCATGACACAATCATGGTAGTTCAGAAAAGATGATCTGGGGTGTGTGTATCAACCCTTTAAATTCCAAGTTCAAGATAGAAATTCTTCCAACTTATTTCCTTAGTTTTTTTCAAAAATTTAACAGGAGAATTTGGTTATCTCAAAAAAACACCCTGTAGCTGGTGAGCTTTTCTGTTCTCATAACCTGCGAAGGAGATAACCTATTGTAATTGCAGGAAGAAGTCACATGTTCATCACTTCTGAGGGTTAAAGAGTTAAAAAGGGAAATTGTACCAGAAAGCATGCATGACAGTGGAAAGCCATGCAATACTTATCATCAATTGCAAGCTGCACATAATGAAACATACCTTCCAGACACAAGAACTGAACCCTCACAGTGAACACAACATATCGCATCGTTGTGACCTTCTAAAGATCTCACATAAAACTTCATATCACTGTTTAAGGATGGTGACTGCAATATGCAAGTTTTTGTATTTGCCAGAGGAGTATCAGGCACCTTGCCCTGAACAGCACCTTGATTAGTACTTGTAATCTTGCTTTGATTAGGTTTATTTTCATCCTGCGCACTTTGACTGATAACTTTTTGTTCTGCTCCTTCAACATCAGATGCGAAAAAAGTGGTGGTAGTTACTTCCTCTTCTATTTCTTGCTGAATCAACAGAGCTGGTTCATCTTCTTTTGTTTGATTTTCCATTCTTTGTATTTCCAAATTCAGTTCGTCTTCCCTTGCTACCAATTGCTGCACTTTAGAGCGTATTTCATCTTTTGTACAAAGCTAAGAATGTCAAAAAAAAAAAAAAAAGATTATCTATTGAATTTAAAAACTTACAAAGCTGCAAATTGATGGACAAAAGATAACATCAGCATGATAGATCATTCAAAGCAAGTGGGACACACTGCAAGAACCTTAATCCAAGCTTCCATAGTGTGATGTAAAAATAAGTGTTATTTATTTAGTACCTTGTCAGGCATTGTGACACACTTTGCAAGCTTAAGTAGAGATCTTGGTGGGCTGAATTAAAAAATGCATGCTTGTGTGATTGTTCCGACTGTTTTGTTGTCATTTTGTTCAGTTTTTATTTCTCAATGTTTTCCAAAGTGATAATAATAGTAACATAGTTTCTTTTCTTGGACATAACTATCTCTTCGGCCTTTCTATGAGTCATTTTAAGTCCTCTCCTAGTGTCTTGGGCTAATTGACTCTCAGTCAGGCCCAAAACATATTTATGCCCACAAACAAAGACTCTGTTGTTTTATTCTAGCTTGTTAGGGGTTGGGATGATTGGTTCATTGCAGATCACTTATCAGGTCTCCTTGAAAATACACCAGTACCCATGCATATTTCTTGGTGAAAAGATGCATTTTGAATCAAAGTTACACTCATGCTTTTTGCTGGAAATCACCAATAAAATAGCTCCTAATGTATGGCTAAAACCCATACCTTTAAATCTTAAGTCCTACACTTTAACTTTTTGGCTCCTGCAACTTCAACCGAACAGACCAGCGAGTAAATCCTTCTTTGAAGAAATATGAGAAAAATCTGTCATGATTACAAAACACTTGATAAGCTGGCAGTGACTCGACAGAAAATTTTCTTAATGGTTTCACATCTTTGGTTCAAACCAAAGAATTTTTGTGGTCAGCCTTGCTCTATTTAGTCATGAACTGTGCGGAAACAGACTATGAATTGTATTTGGTAAATCGAGTACTGAAAAGAAATGTGGAAAATTAAAATCAGTGGTTTAAAAGGGAAAAGCATTGTAACTTGCTTGGGACCAGACTCACTATTTATGAAAAATCAACAGATGGGTAAAAATAACAGGCATCGGTGCCAAAATTAACTTTCGTGCTTATCTATCGCTTCCGGCCAGGTGATCTGTTCTCAACAACGAACTCGTCGATGGCGGAAAAAAAAAACATTCGCGCTCACGGGTAAATTACAGTTAAGCTGAATCAATTATTTTTCAGTGAGTGTTAACCACGACCTCAGTAACCTTTAATTATAATCAAATTGATGAAAAGCAAGTTGACCCAAATCTCTTTTCATTCGTTTTTACTTACAAACTGTAAGCAAAGAAGTATAGTCTGCACTACTGTTTGTAATCATAGCTGCTACGAGACGCGTATTAAACGTGGCTATTGTTTATCATGGCACAGTTTCAGTACGAAATTTTAACTTTCACCATTACCTTAAGATATTCTTCTTCCGTTAATTCTCGCTCTAAGTCCTCTAATTTTTCAATTTGCCGTAGCTTTTTCCTGAATTTTCGTAACTCAGTAGCAACTTTCTGTCTATCGAAGTCGGCCATTATACACGCTGAAAATGATTGAAGACTGGGAATAATTATTTCAACATGTTCCAGGCTGGGGTAGGGTTAGGTTTTTTCTCTCTTCTGTCTACCCTCACCGTGGCCGTGATCCAGCAGCTGGAATGCCAAAACACAATAAACAGCAGGTCATTTTTTTATCTTTATTTTCCCACAACGATTAAAATTTTAACTCATATTGATTTGCCTTTCCACAAGATAACGCTATTAATCAAATCGCGCTTTGTGTATAAAGCTTAGCACTATTCATGAAATCCGTTTTGATACACCACAAACATTTCCATAGTCCATTTTTATTAAGATTTAGGAAGTCAAAACATGTGCTAAAGCGAAATAATTTATACTAGACCATGTCATGAAACAATTAAAATGTTTGATGGACCGTGTGAAATTGTATAATAAACATTCTAAAAGATTTTTCTTTATTTACTGCCGAGTAAAGTTTCTTCAATTATTTTGAATGAACATTTATTGATTTATCATCTTCTGTTATTTGAATACTAAATCTGTGTCCTGAATCCCAGCTGCCTCAATAAACTGCCATATTTTGTACTAGTATGTGTAAAAAAATTTAATATGGATTTCGTTCTGCTGATTGCAAATAAAAAAGCTATGATTTCATTGGCTGGCGGGTGACACATAGGAGTATATTTCTCGTCAAAGTCGACAGAAGAAAGGGTGTCTCATATGCCAGAGCCATTAGCACAGCTTGCGCCTCGCTAATTGACAAACAGAAATACTCATTCGCTGAATTTTTAGTCATGTAAAGAATCCCTTAGAAAGGTATTCTGTGTCAGTTACGAGTTGGGAAGTACGCGCGGCATCTCGTATCGTTCACCCTTGATCGGTGTTGTTCATGCCTCTTCAGTCAAGAGCCTAAGTTATTATATGTCAAGTGCTGTGACAGTCTTCCTGATGAGTCACTTAAAAGAATTTTAAATTTCTCCTCTTGAAGACAACTTGTTTCGACAGCGGGAACTTGACAATCGATATACCTAATATCTTTTATTGCTGACCTCAATTTTCGCCAACTGTGGGTCAAATGCGAACGTTTCACGGATGGCGGCCAAGTTTAGTTGGATCGTACTGCAACTGTTCGCCGTATGGATTCGAATTTGTCGTTCTTCTTGCGGTGACCACCTTGAAGGCTATTCCGGAGACCTTCGTTTTCCTATAAGTGGAGGAAATGTTGGCGAAAGTCTTCGCTGCACTTGGACAATTACAGTGTCAGAGAGATTTCGTGTAAAAATTACATTCACAGACTTTGTTATGGAAACAATATGTTGTTCTTGTACGCATGATTTTTTAGAAATTCGCGACGGGTCTCTTGACAATTCCACTGTTATTGGACGATTCTGTGCAAAAAGGCAACCTAAATTTATTTACTCCACGACAAATGTTATATGGATTCAATTTACGTCTGATTTTCGTACCTACAGTAGTAATCGTTTTCGGCTGTCATACGAAGCAGTATGTGGCAGCCATTACACTGATTCTTCAGGCACTCTTCGTTCACCAAGGTATTCGTTTCCTTATGAAAACAAAGATTGCATCTACAGCATCGAGGTGCCGAAAGGGAGAATAAAGGTAAAGTTCGAGAGCTTCAGAGTTAATGGTCGAATGCCTGTTTGTTTATATGACTTTCTTGAGGTGAAGGAAATTGGATACTTCGTACTCTCAAATTCTCAAGGAGAATCGAGACGTAGTCGTTACTGCGGCATTAACAAACCGCCAATTATTTATTCTACAAAAGGTAGTATTCTGTGGTTTAGATTCAAGAGGTCAGATGACGGGAAATCACGATTCATAGCTAATTATCGCACCATTTTCGTTGGAGAGGGAACATGTGGTGGAACCTTTAAAGATACATCGGGGTTAATATACTCGCAAAATTACCCCTATCACTTTCCACACGGCCAAGAATGTGTATGGAAAATTCGGGTGGATCCTAACATGCATGCACATTTATACTTTGATACCTTGAATTTTGGATATAAAATGGATGGAGTCTGTGGGTATGGACATTTAGAAATTTATGATGGGTCAGAGGAATCCTCTTTTAAAATTGGCGAGTATTGCGGAAATGTTATTCCCAACAAAATCATTTCCAGGACAAATGAGCTCATGATCAAGGCAGTGTCAAGTTACGAGGGAAAAAACATTGGGTGGTTTTCTCTGCATTATGAGTCATCTACTGGAAGTGTTTGTGGAATGTCTAAGTTCACCTGCGCAAATCGGCAATGCATTGAAAATGATAAAGAATGCAATGGTCAAAAAGACTGTGAAGATGGTTCAGATGAAGAAGTTTGTCCTGAACAAACTTCATCCAAAGACCCTGGTTTTCTATCTTGGTACAGATTCTGGCCTGTCAGCATTGTGGGAGGAATGCTTATTGTTGGAGTATGGCTTTGGAGAGCATGGAAAAAAATTATGGCAGCTCGATCTGAAGTGGACAGACCTCATGCGACTACTCCATCACCAAATCATTTAGAGATGCTCCCTTGTACTTCTGTGGAACCTCCAAGTTACAATGAGGCTGTTGCTGAAAATGTAGAGCCTCCGCCCTCTTATGAAGAAGCTCTCAGAGAACGATTAAACCCTCAGAATAGCATACAAGAGGCTGACTCTCTCAGGGTTCACTCTGACTTAAATACTGGCAACATAGCATTGCCCAGAAATGTAGGTCAAACGTTGTCCATGGTAGTTTATGAGGGTTCATCAACAAGCTCTCATGGTTCTCCATATGACAGTCATAGAAAGAGAGGTTATACTTCTCTACACTTAAATGCTCAAAGTATTTAGTGCTCTGTCAGGTTATAATAATAATTATTAGTTCATAAAAATCATATTGTAGTATTTTTCAATTGTGACAGATAGTTCAGGAAAGATCAGTCAATTGTTGGATTTAATCTGGGATTACTTTGGTTCTGCTTGACAGCCTACTGCGATTGATTTAGAAAAATATAGCAACTCTATAGTCAATCAGAAGTAAAATCATCAGTAATCAGAAGTAAAAGTAACACCAATTTATACTTGGCCACACCCATTTCCATGATCATGTTTATTTTTCCAAGTTTTCGTTGGCTCCTTTTGATATTTTCCTTTCTTATTGGCAGCTGTCAATTATCTTGGATTTGGTTTTCCTTCACTCATACAAAATGAGCTTTAACTGAATATGTTCCAGTTTGCAGAATATATCCAAGGGTTTTTAGTCAGTTTTTTAAAAAATTTTTAACCTTTTCACTCCCAAGATCTCATTAGTAATTCTCCTTACTGTCTTGCATATAATTCTTATGATGATGGCTGGGAGAATGTGGATCAACTTATAATTCTCTTACTGCTATAACTTTCTCCCCAATTTATGAATGAAAACACTTGCTTGGCAGTCATCTTTCTGTGCTGTTAGAGTTACTGTAAACAGAGTTTCAACAACAAAGAAAGGGTTTGAAAAGAGGACATGTTTTAGCCAAGTTATCTAATGAGAACTTCTGCATTAATGATAGCTTAGCTAATTTGAATAAAATGTATTGTAAAAAAATAGGAAAATTACTAGTTGCCAAATCTACTTATATTTCATAGTTTACATAAAAATAGCATATTTACTGTTAGCCAAAAAGCTATTGACTAGTGTCTATAAAAGAGTGCAAAGCAACACTTGCATTCATTGCCAGAAAAATTATAGTTATTTACAATGAAAATTTAAAAATTTGTAAATGTGTGATTATTACTCATTTTGGTTACATAGATGAATCCATGGTCAACAGTTTAGTGTCTCACTAAACAGGCACTTCCCCCTTTACACCCTAACATCAGTTTGCATATTCTCCAAACTGTTCTCTATACATTTCCTTTAAGGACAAGGAGAATTTGTTTACCTAATGAACCAAGAACCTCTTTAGCCAGTGATCATTTCTTTCATTTTTAAGAACTAACATCAGTATGCATATTCTCTATGCTGATTTCTCACTTTCCTACAGTAATGACAAGGAGAACTTATTTCACAATCAAGAGCCTCTTCAGTTGGTGATCATTTCCTTTTCTCTCAAGACCTTAAATGTTTTCATTCAGGGGTGAAATTTAATACTGGTTGCTCTGAGGGCTTAATTCTTGATAGGACTGTGTTGAGGTCAGTGAACTTGACTTCAATAGGTATTAAGGCCAGATATGATGTATCCCCTTAGTGTAGATAGTATGTGCACCCTTATTGGTCGAAATGGTGTGTTTACACAAGAGTATGTAGACATGGTCGTGGGGTCACACTTAATATGTTTGGAATTATTTTTGAGAAATATTTCATAAAAGCAGTCAAGGATTTTTTCCAGGCTTACAAATCCTCTTAAAAACAAGTGAAAGGGCAGGACAACTTGAGAGAGTTTTGGAACCCAAGACTCAGCCCAGATTTATCACTTCTACCTAGACCCTGCCAATTTTCAATTATTACCTAATTAGTTCTTCTCCTTACTTGTTAAGGCCAAGCCCCTTTTCAAACTCTGCACATGTGAGTAACTATATAGCTTACTGCACCCTAAGTACAAGATGTGACACCTAAGGGAGATGAATGATATTAGGTGATTTTGATCTCTAACCATTGATGTGTCATAGTTTTCCTTAGCCTGTGAGCAGACCCTTGTTTTTAGTGCTACAGGGCATTATTTCTCCACCCATGGGTAGATTTGAGACAAGTTGGGGAGAGGTTTGTCTAGGGTCTGGCACTATCAGCACCAGGCCCCTCACAGACCTCTCATTGGCTCACATTGCTCATTCCATGGGCAAAGACATTCCCATCTGAAATGCTTACTTCCCCAACATTTTTTAACTGTGTATTTGCCATTTTAGCAGATAAGCTTTAACACCCTCATTTTAGAGGTATGGGTTCAAAGTTCATCTTTTTAAATTGATAATGTTCTTAAAGGGATCTTTTCTCACATCATTTAATTTATCCAGTAAGGTGAACAGAAATTCAGGATGAATTCCCTCAATCAGGTTATATCGTGGAATAAAGTAACTTGGCAAAGACTTTGTGGCCAGGCAATAAAACAAGTCATCCAAAAGTCCAAGAAGGTTGGCTGCCAAATTACTGTCTGTCCATAATTTTGGAGGGTACTTGTGGCACGCTTGAAGAAACACCATTTTCAAGTGATATGAATGAAGAATATGAGGGCATTTTAGATGCCAGAATCTTATTTGTTTAAAGACTCTGTAACATGTTATAGCAGCAGGGCATTGTGATGCTAATTCCTGTAACAGAAAAAGTTCTACAACGCTGAAAGACAGTCTCCATTCTACCTTTGATTGTCCATTTGGTGAACACTTTCCAACAAGATAAAGATGCTGTTGTTGTGCTTTAACAAAAGCCTCCTCACTGAGCCAGTTTGGCTTTCCATGTACTGTAATCCACGATGGATACTCAACTGGAAGACAGTCATTTAGCAACTCGAATGCAACAACCAAATCACAATTGATTGTAACGCTTTGGAAGTCTAAAGACATGGATAAAGTTACTGCTGGTGGATTGAATTCCAATTGGAATCTCTCATTTAGTAAAGGAATTTGAGCGAAAATATGTTCAATTTGCTTGTACAAGTCGCCTACAATCAACAATGGATTAAGGTACAATTCGCCCCTTCTCTTCGGATCGCTTGGGCCAATAGCAAAGGGGGCCCAGTTTCTTCTGTAATCTTCATCATTCAGATACACGACAAAGTATCCCTCGCTTGTGTCTTCTTGCTTCATAAGTATGGCAGGACTGTCCCTTGATCTTCCGACTTTAACGTCTCGGAACACACAGAGTATATCCATTTCGAATTCAAGATGAGGCTTTCCATCCCCATGCCTATCGAAATTAGGAATATTTACCCCTTCCGCTGTGCTTCCAGTCCAGACGAATTCGACTTCCTTGTAGAGGGGATGTTTCCGTAACGGCTTATACAAACAATTCTTAATCGCACCAAACACGGATGGAAATAATTGTTTTGATAAATCGTCCATAACTTGAAAACCGCCTCCATCTAAATGCTTTTGAAGAGCTTCATTGAGGCTAGCGATTGAATTTCCTGATAGACGATCAATTCCAGCTTCCGCCATGCCGATGCTTTCTTTCAGTGACTACTTTATATATGAAGACACATTTTATCTCTTTCTATTAATGACATGGAAGGTCGTGTTCGAAGGTTGAATAATGCTATCCGCTGAATAAGCTTGAATAAATCTCTAACCGGTGGATGGTGTAGTATGGCCCTGGCCTTAACTCACAAGGCCCTCAACCCGTTACATCCAAAAGTCAGTTTTCACTTTCTCCGTACTTTCTCCACACCTCCTAATGTGCTGATAAGAGAATTTGTTCAACAATCTAGAGCTTCTTAAGTTTGTGATCGCTTCTTTTATTCTCATGACCTAAATATGTGATTCAGGGGTGATTTGGTTAAGAGAAGATACGAGTCACTCTTGGGAGACAGAGGGTTAAGAACTTATACTAGCTATCTTGGAAAATATAGCTACCAATGTTAGAACTATTAACAACTATAAGACATCTTTGGAAAGTTTACGACAGAGACATCAAATGAGGAAATAAAGTACTTGTTCCAATATTGACAATTCTAGGCAACAATCCAAGAGAAAATTAGAATAAGCCTTTCACTGTAATTCATGTTCCTTTCAGGAAAATATAATTGAAAAGCTCTCTAAAATACCAGGTATCCAACAGAGGTGTTATGCAAGGAAATGAACAAGGTATCACAACCACTGTCCCTCCCCGCCCCAGAAAAAAACACCAATAACTTGTACACTGGTACTATGATATTTATTAACTTGTTTCATCAACAATACACTAGTTTTCGGGGTTCATACACACTTTGACTGCAAACATCAAGACTACTTGCATTCTATATTTCCTTTTTCCATACTCAAATGTTACTCAATGAATGATTGCTATGATGGCATTCGTTTGCAAAAAGATGTTTACTAACAGCAGTGCATTTTGAAGTTAGAGAGTCTAGAAATCTTACAAGACTGAATACAAACATCAAGGATAATTCCACTCTATCATTTTCTTTCTCCATACAAAAATGTGACACACAGCAGGATTACCACAACAATCACAACTTGACACATACTTGCAGCTGCACATTTCACAGTTAGTGTGTCTAGATGTCTGGTGAGATTCCACTACATGGCAGAAATTTTACTCTTTCTCTAGTTTTCAAAATAAAATAGGTATAAACTAACTCTTAATCTACCAGAAGTGATTAACATGTAGGTTTAATATCTTTAAGATCAAGCTATATCCAGGAGACAGGTGATAACATTACTCAAACCTATCAGGTAAAAGTTGTAGTGATAATTGTGATCTAACACCAAATTCTCATACCTAACTGATGAGGAAATGTCTGGCAGCTTGAAGGGAGAATTTACAATCAGATCTTGAGAGTATAAGGGTTAAGAGGTCTAAAGAAGGCAGCAATAATCAGTGCATTCTTCCTTAACTCCAGCAGCTGTAATTTATTGTCACTTTTAATTAGTGGTTTCTGGGCTTCTGCCATTTGATGCAGTTCAGTTACGTCATTGTTCTGTGTTCTTCATTGTTATTATTTCAACTTTTGAACTATTTTCCTATCAGAACTGATCAGATTAGCTGTCATATTAAAACTTTTTTTCCTTAAAAGGAATATTCCTAAAAAAATGGGTCATTTTTTTCCTTTCTCTTCATCATCAGTGTACTAATACATGTTCTACTTTCATACCTACTAAGAAGGGAAAAAGAAAACTTCTTTAGTCAACATGATTACAGGTACTGGGATTTGTTTCTTTCTGTTTCTTTTTTTTTTAAAGACAACTCTTGAAAAATAGAACATTATTTTCCTTTCTCTACATCAGAGTACGACTATGTGTGCTGCTTTCACACCTACTATGAAGGGAAAAAGAAAACTTTTTTAGTTAACATGATTACAGGTGCTGGAATCTGTTTCTTTCTATTATATGACTCAAACTCCCTAGCAACTTTATTGTTTACTCTGATCAACATACTGACAACATCTTCAGTATGGGCATAATCACTAAAAACATCAGCTATAGCTTGGACAAACCAGGAACCTTTAGCCAAATTGTTCCAGGAAACATATCCTGGAACAGTGGAGTAAGCAACTAACATGTCAGCTTCAGCAGGGAGTGATTCTGGTTCTGGCTCTGGATCAACTTTATCAGGTTTGACTCCAGGTAAGCATGCATGAACAACAGCAGCTCTTGCCTCTGCAACTGGAACTTCATTGGCAGACATATACCCACCATCAGTTACCTCTACTCCTTGATCAAAATCACTTCCACGGCAAGCTTGGATAAAAAACATCTTTGGTTTCCCAATGAGATCTTTTGCTGCATAACCATTGAACAATGCCAGAAGATTTGGAATGGACACAAGCACTTCATCAACACCAAAAATTTGCCCTTCCAACCCATGACTAAGGAGACAGACAACAACAGAATCTGCCATTCCATGGTCATTCAATCTTGCAAACTGGGTCAGAGTTTCTTTGAGCTGTTTTGAAGTCTGATTCCTGACCATTTTGACTTTGTACTGAAGCTTAGTAAACAATTCATCAAGTTTTTTTGCATCCACATCAGAGCCACCTCTTCTACTAAGATTCTCAAAATCTACATTGTTAACAATCAAACATAATCCATGAGGTTTACACTTCATGGAGTAAACCAAGTCATCATCATCAGAACCACGCAGAGCATTCTTCTTGACTTGCGATGAAGTAGAGGTATTGGATTTCATGGTCACTTGCTCTGAATCAATTTGTCTGGTGCCGTCACTCCGCTCCAGTGAGATGCTGCCTCTGTTTTCATCCTGGATCGAGCTTGACACTGCTCCTTTGAGTTAATAAAAAAAAAAATGAAAGTAAAAATTTCTCTTTAACCCTATAACCCCTAGGAGTGACTAGAATCTAATTTTCCTTAACATTATTACCTCTAAATAAAAAAATTAACCCTCTATACCAGTGTTCTCCTTTTCAGGCAGTAACTGGTAATATTTACTGCCTGTAGTACCTCCTATTAGCATTAAAATTGCTTGATATTCTTGAAAGTTTAACAAGTAAAAGGATTGCTTTACTGGTTTGAAAATTTATTTTACCTGTCATGCTTAAAATAAGGGAGAACACTGCTATACCCCAACATCAGTATGTTAAGTCTTCCTAATTTTCTCTTTACAGTTCCTATGGTAGATAATTTGACCAACAGTCGAGAGCTTTTTGAGTGTTTCTTCTCCCTATGATATATATCCATACATTATCCCATAAACAGGTAATAAGAATACTCAGACTTATCAGGTAGAAGTCATCTTGGGTTAAAACCAAATTCTCACAAGTAATTTACAAGGTTGTGTGTAGCAGCTGAAGGGGTGAATTAACAATCAGATCTTGCAAGTTAAAGGGTTATAATGAAACTCTTATCAACCATTACTTTGAAAACCTTTCTGGTAAAAAGAAAAAGAACCTAATCAGTGGTCTGAGGTCCATAAATATCATGCAAGGAAAACACAATCGTAACTTGTACAATGGTGCTCAAAACGTTTAAAACGTATCATGGAAACTGACAAATTAGAGCTGTGTAAAATATTTTGGGCCAAGGGAAGTTCCTTACCATCTTTTTACAATAATTTTATATCTTGCGGATGAAAATCAGAGCCAGAGAGTTACATACTGATTACAACGATTAGTAAGAATCAATAAGCTTAGCCTTATTAAGAAAGCTTCTAACTCTAATCTAAAGAGAGTCTGAAAGTTTGTCATAAAACACGTCATAACGAACGTTCATTATTTACCAGAGGCAGGCGATCCATTCGTCTTCAACATATCCAATAGGTGGCCTTGGCCGTCAGTTTGTTCAAGAGCTCGGCAAAACACATCAAAAACTTTCGGTCCACGACGAGGAAGAATGTCCAGAAGCTTTTCCGCTTGAGCTTGTCTCGTGGGTTTTGCCTTTATGGTTTGCATATCGTTTTCCGATATACCTCCCTCCTGATATAAAAAATTGGATAGCTGGGTAGCTTCTAAATCTTCTACTAGTAACAATCTGTTCTTTCTCAACAAGTCTCTGTGCTTTTTATCCATTTTTCTACAATTGTTTTCGTTCTTCCCGGATTACCTTGAAACTTGCCCAAACGTAAGACGATGTGTCTTCTTAAGAGGCTTTCCATTGGTTAATTTGCGGATAGAGCTCACCAGCCAATCAGAAAACGTGTCAAATCGATGTCAAAGAGAAGCGCAAGTGTGTTTCTTACGGTCAGTGGTGAACACCATACGCGGCTTGATATTGAGTGTAAAACCACAGTTCTGTCTAGTAGCAGCTCGCGTAGGGTCTTCTTTGGTTAGTACACGGTTTGCAAAGTTACGCGGACTTCAGCACCAGATTTCTTGCGATCCCGTCTGATAACTGATGATTCTGTTTGATTGCGAACAGTTGCGCCTGATTTCATTCATTTTACAACTGATCTAGAAGGCGAAAGCTCTACTGAATGAAGATGTTATTAACAAGCTATTATCGAAGAAATTCACTTTTAATTTCCATTTCCTCCGTAGAACTTATTTGATCTTATTTCTTGCAAACCTGACCTTGTTTCACTAATAAGGACAAAGAGGGGGCACTTGCTATGTCCCAAGCGATATCAGGAACCCATTACTCAAGTAATGGGCTCCTGGCGATATGATAAAATATCTTTACCCCCCCAAAAAAAAAACCTTAAATACTATCGTCCTTATCCCATACGTAATAACAGGACTATTTGAGCTCAGAGCTAATCAACCTCTTTAATAAAATACTTTGTGACTGTCTGCGAAGTGTGGATAGTTATAAATAAGAGTGATGAGCTGGCGTAACCTTGAAAAAAAATATGTAAAATGGACATTAGGGGTTATATTAAAAATCATTGCGCGAGTGCGCGCAGATCTTATATCCAACAAGTGCGAGTATAAAATAAATATTATAAATATAATAAATATGGATAAATCTTTCCAACTTTATTCTGTAACAAACGGAATGTTACAATGTACAAAAATACTTCTGGTTTAACTCGTCTTCATGCGCGCCCATGGTATAATGGTTTATAACCCATGACGGCTAGGCCAATGAAAACTCGTGAATTGAATTATCCAGTGATCCAGTTTTTAATAATGATTTTTAACTCTCATTGTTAGTGCTGTGGGACACGCGTTACACGGCCCACGGGAAGATTGGAGACGAGTCGTTGTCACAGTGTTTTGGGTTTCCCCAAGTTTTGGGCATTCCCGTACCCAAAACACTAGTGTTATTAATTCAAAACGGTTTTTTCGTATCCAAGAGATTCACTGCTGTCAAGATACTTTTCCTCACTCGCGGTAAATTTCTGATAACATTGCCAAGGTCATTGAAGCAATAGGAATTTTCCCACACATTCACATTGATGGCGAACAAGTCTGAACAAGTCCGACAGTAACGATTACTCACAGCCTCAGAGCTAAGCAGAAAATACAACCTTTTCGGTCATTTTCTTAAACGCAAAATCCCAACAAGTGGAGAAATCCTCCTTCCGCGCGTGTCTCAAATCGATCGGATGAACTGCGTGCATGCGAAGCAACTCACTTGAAACTGCTGACTAATCTCTCTTTCCAGGATGCTTAGCAACAAATGAACCTTTTTTTTTACCAACCACAATCTCAAGTGCGAGAATTGACTTTGGATGACAATTTCCTGACGTCTGCGAGCAATTATTTTTTGTCTTTCTTTTTTTTATTCACGATAAATAAAAGATTGATGGCATGTTACTTCCCCCAGTCTCCTGTTCAATTCACTTCCAGGGTTCTGGGTGTCCTCGGTGGGGATACCGAAAACATTAGTGTTTTAGGTACGGGAATACCTAAAACACGAGGATATCCAAAACACTGAGATATCGGGGATAGGTTTATCAGGGGTTTGGCTCTAATCAGTACTTTAATTACCAGACCTCTCGATCGCTGACTTGTGTCGTTCAAGTCTTCATACTTTCTGCTGGGCAAAGAAACACTCGCGCAGATGCATAGATAATAAGGTTCTGCTCATTGGCTACTGATTTTTGGCCTGTACTATTACATGAATAATTTTATCACCATAACAAAGTACACTCCGTTTTTGTCGCCAAAGTTAAGGAAACGAGGCTTGAGGGGGCTAGTTTCAGTTTTTGTCTATTAAAATTTCGACAGCTGAAAGCTGTTGATAAATTTGTACCTCAGTTTATTCATTCTTGCCTTGATTCTTTCTATTGCTTTGTTTTTTTTATCTGTTCGCGCGTGATTACAGCGCGAGGTTGATACTTTCTATTAACCAGATTGCCTCTGTGACGTTTAATTACCATTTATTAAGAACATGGATTGAACACGAATTGACTAAGGCCACTGTGCAGTAGTGGCCGGCAAAGATAATCCATCCTGGTATGGATTTTTTGCCAGAAATAGTCATTTTAAAAGTTTTTTCTTTTCTTCCTGTTGGGGATCTGGGGAAAGCTGCTAGAGTCTGCAGTTATTGGCGCCGGCTAGCGTACGATCATTCTCTTTGGAAGGCTGTTAACTTGAAACGACAAGCTGCAAAACTCGACGAAGATACCTTGCACATGCTTATAAGGACAAGATTTTCTCATTCTCTCTCTATTCTTCACTTGGGTGGCTGTAAAATTTCGCTTGAGCTTCTTAGCGAGCTGAACAGAAAATGCAAAAGTTTGAAATATTTAATATTCAGTCGAGGATCAAAACTACGACCGCCAAGTCCACCTCCGAAATACACCGAAGTCACCTATGAATTTCCTTCTCAACTGGAATTAGTGGAGTTGAGGCCGATTAAAGGAGACTTTGCCTTCTTAGGGCGAATAATAAGACACTTTTGTGAGGTGAAATACCTAGGCATTGGAAACAATTCCTCGAAGGGCGCGGTCCCGTCTTTGTTCACCAAAATGCAAAGATTGGTTATACTTGACTGTACGAACTGCGACACAATTACAGACGAAGTTATCGGTAAAGTGGCCGAGTGCTGCCCTTTACTGGAATCATTTTGTTTAAACGGATGCAAATATGTCTATGGGCGAACATTTTGCACGCTTTTCCGATCGTGTTCTCGATTGACTACGCTGCTTCTTCGTTACACGCCGGTGCGTGACGATTGTTTCGTGATCAGCGACTGGAAGTTCGTCCCTGTGGAGGAATTAGATATTTCAGCGTGCTCTAACATAACACAGATAGGCCTCATTAGCCTGGTTACAAACGTGAAGACTTTGAGGTATCTCAACTTATCGTACTGCGGCGTCGGCCGAGCGGTAACAGACGCAGTTTTGTTACAGATTGCGCGACAAGAAACAGGAACAAACTTAGAAATGTTAGATGTAAGATGGAGTCTTACATTGACGCCTGAGGCTTTATACATTTTATCCCGAGCCTGCCCTAAACTGAAATGCTTAGGGGTGTATCAATCTTCAAGCATCAATCCATCGGCCATGGCAGAAGTTTTAAGGATGCTTCCTAGACTAGAGGTTCTGGAATACGGCGCTTTCGGCAAAGCTAGTATTTCCGAGAGCATGTTCTTTCCAAACCTTATAAGATATTGTGAATTCCTCGAGGCTGTGTCGCTTATAAACTTTGCCTCGATGGATTCCGTCGCGGACGCTGTGCTAATGAACGCACTGGTCGACAACTGTCGTTGTTTGAAACGTATAAACCTTTGTGAGCCGGATCCTACTTTACTGGATCTGGTACAAGAATTACCCCCCTCCTCTAAAGCCAAGGTGACTCAAAGATGGCAATGCGTTCTGCCTCCGCCCAACCACACCCTAGATGCGATTATTGCCAAATTGAAATACAGCCCACCTCATCCGCCCTCAATTTAGCGGTTTAGATAAAAACGGTCTTACAACGTGAACTTATTCATCTGCAAGAAATATATTGGTTTTGCTGTGCTGGTTTTGTGATAGTGACAAATGCAGCTGTTACTGAAATTTCTTTAAAACTGGAAGGATATTGTTAAAATGATCTTCGATTTTCATTTCTTCTTGTTCAAATTTTCATCACTTATCATATCGATGCTGGTTAAAATAATGCATGTATCATCCGGCCTGTAGTTCGTTTCAGGCCGGGTTAGAACATTTATGACCGTTAGGAGAAGGTTTGAGTTTTATTTCAGGAGTCAATGCTAAACGACAATAATTCATGAATATATGAATATTTAGGAATCATTTTGTGTATATCGATGTAATAAAATGGCACGTATTTTGTTAAATTTCGATTTTCCTGGTTGATTTTAGATTTGCCGGAATTTGTAAAAGTGTAAATACTGAAATTACGCGCTGTCAGGCGGCAGGGGAGGGTGGAGGGTATGGTACAGAGTGAGTTGAGTTTTTCGATCGAATCCAGTCTCCCCTCCTCCATTTGATCTAGATTAGGATGGAGTTTCGGGAGCACTCGCATCTCTACTAATTGAATACTTTAATGCTAGGAAGGTATAGGTGTGATTTCTCAGTGGTTGGTGCTTGAATCATGGAGAAAAAGATATCATCAATTGAGTGTCGAAAGAAATCCGGAATTGCTTGGGTTTTGCTTTACTCCATTTGTGATTGGTCCAGAAATCTCGCTCCTATCTCTCCACCAATCAGATTGAAAAGGAAAATCAATCATGACTCGATCACACGCTATTTCCCACACTTCAGATGGCTTTATTTTTTTTACTATGAGTTCTCATTGGCTCTTCGTAATATTTTCCCTTCTTCTGGTTGGCCGTTGGGATTCCCTTGGGTTTGGTTTTACGTCACCCTATCGAAATGTACTCTAGCATGAATAACTGATTGTTACTGAAGGATGAATCATTGAGTAATAAGCTTTGTGGTTGACAACGATTGTCCCTAGAGTTCGAGAAATTTCTAATGCACTTATTTCAATACGGAATGTAAATGGGTAAAATCAGTATTATTTCTTGTTAATTAACGATACACACTGTCTACAAACTGTGCAGAAATGTTGTAAGCTAAGATAAATCTTTTTAGATATATAACGGTCTCTAAAAGGGGATACTTTTTTTGACAAAGAAACGAAAATTCAAATATTATCAGAAAATATTGCATTTAATTCTTAAAAAATTAGTTATGTGAAAAACAACACAAACTGTTAAGGTAATGATATCTAACCATTCGTCCATAAATTATAAATGAGTTGTGACAAAATCTGTGTAATTATTTTAAAACAAAGGCACGGACTCATAATTAGTTGAAAATCGATCAAAAACGGAATTTTCGTAAAATTTTCTGTTACTTTTTATTCGCTATATGATGTTCAGTGTCGACCACGTCGTTTTCCTAGACGGCGATTCGAAGCGATCAATTGAGAGGAATCTTCTTGGAAATTTTTACACCAGAAGATTCTAATATCGCTGCTTGTATAAAGAGTCTTATTAGAAGCTGTTGTAAATTCTCGTGCTGTATGTGCTGCCAAAACTGTTTCTTTTGTTGGAGGGGATTGTTCTTTCGAGATGAATTTCTCTTGGAAAAGTGAGTCGAGTTTTAATTACATACATTTAGTTTGATTTGTGTAGCATCCCTTGCTGATTACTTGCGAGATTATTAATCTAAATGCTTCAAAACTATGAGAGAGAAACTAAGTTATAGCTTAAACCAAATACAATTTTATTCCAATTAGTACAGAAAAGTGTTATAAAACTTTCGAGCGAGAGTTATTTACGTTCATATCATTATAGCTTAGAGCATGTGGAAGAAAATGTTCTAAGTAAATAATTGAATGTTTTCCTCAATGAAAATAGGAACTCTCTAAATAATGCAACTGATAAACTGTCGAATAGTGAGGTTTCCACTGAGTTCGCTGTGTAGATCTGAAAAGCTAGTTGTAACTTTCCCCAATTGTTCAGTGAAATAGCACAACATACGACATGTTGAATAAATCGGCGCGACCAAAGTTTGTTTTGCATCAGGTAGACAATACACTTTTTTACTTCGGAAATTCAACCACTGAAATCTTTCATGGAATCTTTATTACATAAACTTTGCAGCGTTCACTATTTTATTAGGTAACTAACTTCCGAGACTACCTTCCTAGGTGAATTCAATTTGTCTAAGTGGGTAGCTCAGCGAGGGATGCCTTCAGTGGACATATTTTACACTTCGTAGAACCCCTTTCAATTAACAAATAGTGAAGCCTTGACTGTGCTCTGTTCTGTTTTAAGGCAGACAGGAAGCAGCTAGAGCACATAAGAAGTGTATGGAGAAACACGAGACGAAGTCTTCAGTGCTCTAGCCGCTTCCTAAGTGCTTTACAACAGAACAGAGCACAGTCAAGGCTTCTCTATATGTTTTATAATAAAGAATCCGTTAAATTTCCCACGCATTACTTTCAATTTTCAAAAAAACTTTATTTCCAAAGAGGACAGTGGTGTTGTCAGCATGCTCTATACTCTGATCGAGCTCGCTCTTTCAACAAATGACAGCCCGCGTTACATCCGAACGTTATCATAATGCAAAATGGAGGTGAATGGAACATGCTCGTATCAGAGGACCAAAACACACCAAGTAGCCCAAAACAAGTCCATTTGGTTTGTTTTACGAACAACCAATTTCAGAATTAAACACTTGCTTTCTTTCTTTACAGCTTTTATGAGGAAATCACGCCTCAAGAGTGGAACTCACTGGAAAAAGAAGCAAGTAAAATAAAAGGTACATTCTGTATCCGCCTTTGGATGCGCTATAAGTCTGTGAAACTTTAATTTGTCTTAATACCTGAGAGTATATACTTTTGCCTATATTGTCGATTTCATTCACTTTCAAGCTATACTCATTTTGTAATTGACAGGCGAAGTGACAGAGAAAATTGTTCTGGTAAAGACAAATGCATCACCATCAATCCCAGAAGAGGTTGCGACCTCAAGCGCACAGGAGACACCCAGCTCCTCGCAGTCATTGACAGATTGTGGAGCCTGTGACTTCAATGAAGATTTAGATACCACCGAAAATAAATCTACGAAAACCCCGTTAAACACCAAATATGTACGCTCTTACACTGAACCCTGGTTCGTGACAGAGATGTGGAAGAACCCGGGTAAAACTAGAACTAAAATGAAATCTTTTAAAGAAATATTCCGGAAGAAAAAATATTCACGCTTTTTAGATGAACAAATTGACGAAGATTCGTCGGATGATGAACTTTCACAAGTTAAGTCAAAAGTCAAATTGCGAACCAAGATCCTAACACGACGAAGTCAACGCCGAAGCCGTGAAAGAGAGCCACCTGAAGTTTCATTATCGAGAAGCTTGTCACCTTCTTCCATGTTTAATGACTATCAAGGACATATTGAGACCAGTATCTCTTTTGCTGCGCATGTCAGGAGACAAGGTCCCGGATTTTCGGCCAGTTGTACTCAGACCCTGCGCACCAGTGATTTTATGTCGATCAGCGACTTATTTGAAAGCGAGGTACAGAGTAACGTGACGGTCAATCCGCTCTTCGAGGACGACGACAGTGAAGACGAAGAGTATGTCAAACGAGCAAGACCGAGGAGGTATCGATTGTATACCATCGACGAAGAATCGGAATCTTTCGACTCCAATTAATATCATGTAAAAAGATGTGTATGTATATAAAATTATATGATAAGCTGCAATACACGCATTTTGATTGGTCCTTACTCACTCTCTACTGGAGGCCAGAGGCATAGATGACGTCACCATTACAATCATTTTGTTTTTTTATCATATAAAACAAAGAGGTTCTACGTTACCGCGGGTCTGTACGGTAATAGATCACAGAAGCCGCCAAAATGTGGCTACGCCTTTTGTGCCATTTTTTCCTTCTCACCGTATCTTGACGTCATCCGTGATCTATCATTGAAAAGCTGCACGACAACTTAGGGTCTATTTGAAAAATATAATAATATATATTCTATAATATGCAACATATCAATTCTCAGAGAGCCTGCCTTCCTAAAAAGCGATGACAGTAAGCGCCACACTAGTAAGCAACCATAAAAAATAATTTATATCTCGAACGCTCAAGTTGAACAAAATTTCATTAGTGGTTCCAGGTAACTTGTATTGCTTTGTCAAGAATGCGCAACGGAAGATTGAAGTAAACTTCTCTAAAAAGAGCCACCATTTTGCTGCAGTAAGGTTCTTTTGTATTTGGAATATCGTTATTCCCAATAGCAGGTTTGGTAAGGTGTAAATCAGTTGAAGGTGGGCGGTACAATCCGAGACTTAGGCGAAGCAAAGTGTTCGATATTAGACTCTGCCTTCCGGAAACGGACGAAAGTGTCTGAAATTGGACGGTATCGTCCAAAGACGGATGTAAAATTCTGAAACCATTCCAATGTGTCCGAAGGCGGACAGATAGGTTCAAGGACGGACCCAATTGTCCCTAATCGGGCGCTGTTGTTCCAAAAAAGGAAACAGGTGTCCGAAACCTGATACAAGTGTCTTAAATCGGACGTGATCGTCCGAAACCGGACACAAGTCCAGAAACGAAGGGACCGTCGGAAAATACTCGTAAGTGTTAGATGTCAGTTGGAAACGTCCGAAATCTTACTATGCCGTCTGAAATCGGATTGTAATGTCTAACATTAATGGTAACCCTTCGAGGGAGGGACTCGTAAGGGTGGTTGGGGGCGAACTTGCAATGGGGCGAAAACTCCAGTAACCTTTGAAATTTGGTGTGCAAAATTAGATTGAGATCGGAATAATCTCAAAATTGTGTCCTAAAAAAATTGTTTTGTTTCCTGCTCATTCAAACAGTTCGCTAAAACAAGAATTATTAAAAAAAAGAGTTCGTCAACTAGATTCCACCAAGGGACATGCGGTCACCGGCAAACTTTGATGTTATAATCAAAACAAAGTTTAGGTGCTGTCCATATCGAATTTAAAGTGTTGTTTATAGTTTCCAAATCGAGGTACCTGCTCTTTGCTAATCACGTGTGTCTAACGAAACCACGATCGAAGATCGTTATTCTGTTGTTTAGGATTTCAGGTCTATGACATAAATTGCACAATAAAAATTTCAACTTAGAATTAAGACTTATTTTAGAAGACCAAAAGAACAAGAATATAACGGTAAGTCGATAAATTTCTTCTTAGAATCTAAAATGGTTTACATAGACTTTGTGATTTAATTGTCTTTTTGACTAAGCAGTTTTTAGTTGATGTTTGTTTGGTTGTCAATTGTGCTGTTGTTAAAAGTAATACCACCTCTGATATAACGATCTTTCACTCGCAAAATATTTTACTGAAGAAAATTTGAAATCGCCCGTAGACTCCATTATAAAAAAAAATTGTGAAATTTAGATAGATTTACCAGTTAGCTTGAAATACGAACAAGCTTTTGTAGGTGTCAAAACTTTATAAACAACTACTTTTTAGAAAATTGCACTTTTTGAAGCGAAAAAGCTTTTTCGTTTATTGCTTTGTGTAGCGAGGAGTTGATAAAATACTTTCACTTCCCTTGCTCTGTTTAAAAAAAAATGAAAAAAAAAATCTTCATATCCTATATCTGAATTACGTCAACATTCTCTTTGCTAAGGGTGGTAAATATAGAATTTCCTCGCGTATTTGGTTTCACTTGACAAAGGTAATTTAAATTCTTGTCAAGAATTGAAGTGGAGATTGATAACGATATTTTTTGAGACATATGTAGTTTTCGCCTTTCTTGTTGTTCATTTTAAAGTGATCTGGAGCCGAATTTACTTATCATGTGATAAAATTGTAGCGGAATCCTTAAATTTTGGGAACCTCGAAGAATCGCTGTAATTTCTACCTCAACGACCGTGAAGGTATATTACCATCATGGACCTAACGTTCCGTAACTGTCAAGAATGTTGAGGAAAACACGTCTTTATATTCATTGCATTTTCTCTCTTGTTTTTATTTTTTTTTATCAGAGAAAGATAATGGACAGACGACAGCTCCTATTGGTTGCTGTGCTGTCAGTCACATGCTGTGTTTACGCCCAGCAGGGACAACACACAGGTTCGTTAAAACTGAAACCTCAGAAAACCTCAAGTTGGTGGTGTTAACCTTGCATCTTAATCTCTGTCAACCAACCCACCAACCCACCCCATCCTTGTTGGCCCAACAATGGTCAATATCTAAGGGTGTAACTTACATTGGAGCGGAGGGTTAGGGCCTTTCCGTAGTGTGTTAAAACAGTACAAATATTTATACACACATATTTCAAAATAACACTATCCTGTCCTTTGTGCAGGCTTCCCGTTCTAAAATTCCTGCTCTCTTCATCGATAACGCTAAATGTGCATGTGCCGCAATAATTCAATAATTTATACTGAGAAACCGGCTTAACAACATTGTCACCAGAAGGAAATAAACTGTTTAAGCCTTCGTATAGTACTACTCATAATTATCCCCCCATGGACGCTGCCAGAAAGTGCCACTCTCCCTTACATTTAAATCTTTTGTCATCGTTTGAAAGAAAGATTCTCTTTTTATGCTTTCGATTTGAATTTCAGTTTTTGCCATGGTCCTTGGAAAAGGAGGCCAGAAAATGCCGGGTAAGCTTCTTTATTCTAACTCAAAGATTTGATAAAGAAGATTAAATATAAATATTTTTTTATTCACTGTTACAGAGATCAAAGTCAATGGCGTCAAAATGAATTTGCACAATCCCGTGAGTCAAGCACCAAAAGAACCCGGGGCCCTCGTGCAAGGTCCTCCTTCAGGTACGCCAATATCGGACCATACACTGCAACTTACGCTTTACTCCCTCTTTATTTATCGATATAATTTTGCAACTATACATGGTTCATTATAGTGGTGACAAACACTCATGATTGTGTTGCCATAGATACAACAACTTTCATTGTTGGAAGCAAGGCATCTAATAACAGCAACGGCAAGCTGCCTGTGATGGCAGGTATGATCACGTGAAAAAGTTCTAATCGTACCAATAACTATTGTATTTTGTGCATAGCGAGTGTATCTCCCTAGCTTCGAGCCTTGATAGAGATCAGCTCGGGAGAACACAGCGGTCAAACGTCTGCGAGTGTGCATTCGTTGTAATAACAATGTAATGACATTCGTTGCAATAACAATGCAATGACAATTACATTGTCAGAACCAAGTTGTATCTCACGGGTTACAAACAACCCCACAAGCCAGTAACTCATTGTGTTTTAAAAGCGAACATCTTTTTTAATAAAGCTCAAAATATAAGGGTTGATCAGCAGAATACCCGTACTCGAATATGCTTTCGAAAAGTCTTGAGTTGTCCTTTTCCCTTTTATTGCCTTTCACATATTACTCCGAACCTTACAATTTTATTCGCTTATTCTTCAAGACAGCAGTTGCTTCTCTCGTTTTTAGAATTTCGCGCAGGAAATTTGCGCGTTAGGCAGGCAAAAATTGATTCCCTCGCGCATGCCCGACGTTTGACAGCCGTGTTGTTCGGAAGACACCACTCTTTCTGCTTTATGTCTTTTTCCAATATCAAGAGACTCATAGATAAGAACAATCGTTTTTTTAACTGCTCTGCCGTCAGTTCAAAAGATGTTGCATGTTTGGTCACCCGTGGAAAGTATCACAAGTGATGCATTTTGTCAAAGCCTTTTCTAAAGTAACACATATATCCGATGCAATATATTTCTATATTTGGGTTAAATCTTAAGACTTTCGTTCTTAATGAATTTGAAATTACAAAAATATACAATTAGATACAATAAAAGGCTACAAAATCAAAGCTGTTGACCGACTCAGAACTTAATAACTTATTTATTTTTCCTCACAGAAGCTTTAGTAATGCCTGCAACAAAGAAGCCAAAGACAGGTTCGTGATATCGTCTACAATATTGACGCATGCATGGATGAATGAATAAAATAATGCGATGAAAGAAAGTGAACCTTAAAAGAAACGTCGTGGTAAAGCAAAGACAAAATCATTCAAAAAATCTAAAGATGAATGAACTATTATTGCCTTTGTCAACATTGCATACAACAAAATTATAAAAATGAGGGGGGGGGGAAATTGATGTGCTTATCAGCTGTTATTAATACACAGTCATTTTATATGAGTTTATTTCCGTGGATGTGAGAAACGCTCTCCTCTCACTTTCGTTTGTTGATAGATCCTCATATCTTGTTTTATTGTCTGTTTAGCTGAAGATAAAGCTATGGATGATCTCAAATTAACAAAAGAAGAGAAAGGTAGGAATTTTACTGTTTGCCTTTATCGGCAGAGATTTGCTTTTTTTTACTCGAAGAGTACAGCAAATGCTTTGACTGTCGAATTCGTCACATGAAATCAAAGTTATTGTACATGGTTTTCAGTTTCTGGTTTTGATAACACTTTCACCTTAAATATTCAATACACTTCACTGGATTCCTCTCATACTCTTTGTTTCAAGCCTCAAATAATCTGAACTGTAAAGAAAGAATTTTTATCTTTGAAAGGTCTTGCATTTAAGGAGTTCTTGACTGATCATGAGATTTTATAGAGACTAGAGTGTATTTTCTAATGGGCGTCTTAAAACATAAACCAAAGTGATCACAAGGACCAATTACAAGTAAGGGACACATCAGAAGGAGCCAATGAGAACTCAAAGTTAAAACAAGTGAACTAACCGAAGCGGGGAAAAACGCGGTTAACCAAGAGACGATTGGGTTTTGTTTTGCATCTGATTGGTTGATAAAGTGGCGCCAGATTTCTGGACTAATCATAGAGAGAAGAAAAGCAAATCTAAAGCAATCTAGGATTACTTTCGACGCAAATGAATTTTTTTTATAGAAGAAAATTCATTTGTCAACTCTAAATGATTTTTTTTGTAGAGAAATTGTTCCCATGTGAAGACTACAAGCCTTACTGCAAGAATTACGCCCAGACCGGACAATGTAGAGATGTTTATACGCAGAGGTATTGCAGAAAAAGCTGTGATTTATGTAAAGGTGAGAAGAAGAAGGCTAAGAAATTAATTATACAAGCAGAAAATATAGCATTGAAAAATTCGGCAACGCATGAGAAAAGGAGAGACGTTCTCATGTCACTGTCTCTTAAAAACGGCGGTTCCTCAGCAGGCTACTCGCCTCAGGCCAGGGAAGCTGCGTAGCCACCTCTTTCCCAGGAGCTCTCTTATTCTCATCCCTCCGAAAGAAGGATCTGAATAAGAGATTGGGAATAAGGTTTGATTGCCTAGCAACAGTTTAAGTGCTTTGATGGTGTTACTGCTCAGTAATCGTGTGATACTTCGGTGCGTCGGTATTTCAACACATTTGCTGTTATAGCTGCTTTATGTATGAAAGTCGCAAACGACGAATTTTATTCTCGATAGCTGTCCATTTGTTTTTGGCTAAAACTTCAATGAGTTTTTGAGCAAGAAGATAGACGCTCAGATTTTCAAATCTCGTAATTTAAAGAGCCTTAAGAACAACCGAACACTGTATTGTATCCTTTTATTGGTTGAAAGTTTAACTTAAAATTTCTGATTTGTATGGCCTGTTTAGTTCCTTATGGAGTGTTCATTGGCTGCCAAGACTTAGATGTTTGTAAGAAGTTTGCCGCATCTGCTTGCATGGTGCATTGGGTCAGGGAGACGTGTAAATCCAAATGTGGAACATGTGGTTATGGTGAGCAGAATATAAAATTAAACCGAGCGAGAGAATATGAACGAAGATTACGATTTGTAGGTTATATTTCTTTTGTCAGAGTTGACTGACAGAACGTTGGTGCAAGCTTATTTCCCCCTTTTTAGTAGTGAAACACACCAGAGAGGAAACCTCACACGCCCGTACTTAAAACGAGTTGATATACTTCTTATTTACAAGAATATTCTAGTTCAACCGAAAGTAACATCGTGTTACATCACGTCAATTCATTCTTGCACAATGTAAAGTCGTCACGGACCAATGTCTTAATAAAAATCCTGTAAGGATGATAGAGAGGTTAACCCTTTTATAATACTTGTAAAGGAGAATAATAATTTTGGCTCACCACTGAATAGTGAAGGCTAAAAAAAATAATTAGTTCTATGATATGAAAGTAAACTTTTCCTTTTCTCTTTAGAACGTCAAGGCAACGCCCACATCACCATTGGCAAAAAGAGACATTTCAGTGACACCATAAAGAAGCAAGATAAGACCACGCAGAAGGAAGAGAAGATTGAGACGAAACAGATAGGCAGTGTGAAACAACTGCAAAAAGTCCTTAAGAAAATGACCAAGAAAGTTAAAGATGCTGTGAAGCAAGTGGCAGCGAAAGTCGAGACACTCGAGAAGAAGAACGACAAACCTGTTATTGCCAAGCCAGTGATCAAACCGACACAGACCCGAAGTGATAATGACGCCAGCGAGAAAAACAGTGACGATGATGACGTCAATGATGATAATGACAATGCTGATGATGAAGATGCTACTGTAAGCAAATACATTATTAGTACAACTGGTTTAGCTTATTACTATTTTTTATTTTTATGTGCCAGAAAGTGTTTTTCGGAAAGAAATGTGGCTATACAAAGACGGTTATGTCCCCTTTTACTTTAACGCTTTAATATTATCAATATTATCACAAATATTTTCACTCATGAATCAAGCATTAAATTCACGGGTATAAAGGAAATAGATCGTGAACTCAAAAAGCCATCATCAAAGTCAGATAAACGTTGCTGTGACCCAATCAAGATCCTCCGATAATGGTATTAATAGCAGTTTTCTTTGGTATTTTACGATTTTGTCAAGGACCAAGATGTGAGCGGGGAAGGAAGCTCTGATGACGAAAACGAAGATGATAATGATCATGACGACAATGCATCAGGCGTGGCCAACGCTGAGGACAAACCTGAAGAACCAATCAGACTTGACACAGATCCACGTGGTGAGCCCGTGGTCGCCAAGATGGTCCATCAGCCAATCAAATTCAACGACGCTCCTCTGAAAGCGATGCATGTTAAAATTGTCAAGAGCAAGAAACAAGCCAAGAAGGTGGAGGATGCAAAACCGAAAGTTGAGGTCAAGAAGACGGCGAAAAAAGTCAGCAGTGATAAAGTAGTGAAGAAGGCCAAAAAAATTGATAAAGTAGTGAAGCAAGACAAGCCAAAGATTAAAACCACGAAACCGAAGAAGCTAAAAAATTAAAATCAATATTCGTAACAATTTACGATTGAAAAATGAGGACTTTTGCTTCATTTCGCTTATGTGGACGTTATTTCATCAGAATGTATAATGTAGAAATACTAAATGATTGTTAAACTTCAGAGTAGTTTTTTTCCCAGGACTTTACTTGTCAGCTCACGTGCAGGTGAAGTAGGTCAGTAGCTTTTAACAGTGTTTACTCACAAGGAAGATCAACGCTTTCAGATTGGTATTATGTCGACTTCCCTCGCATGATCAGTTTATTGTATTTTAAATAAATACATTTACTTTTGAAATTATGTACTACCTTAAAAGTCTTTAATTTGCGCAATAAATATTTTTCTGTAATGAAATATGACTATCTGATTCTTCCCTGCGACTCGAATCCTCACCCTGAGTTAAATGTCGCCACCTGCATTTCTTATCTTTTTTCTTTTCCTTTTTATTAAACTGAGATCTGAAGTTCTTAACTAACTCGAAGACTAGTGGGAGTCCCTTAGATTCTGAATTTCAGTCCGCCACTTATTAATACCGAAATATGACTTATTTTAATAATTTTTCAAAAGAAATGAATCCACTGAGATTAAAGGGGGTAAGTTTCTGAAAAACTGTATTTCTGCATTCAGACCGAATCGAGGAATTTGGATTGTGTGTGGTTTATGTACTAAAGGATAGAGCTACGCGTTTGGTGGGAGCATGGTAAAAATAAAACACAAGAAAAAAAAACACAAAAACACAAGAATAAGCGTTTGTTGATACTGTGGGGATTGAGATGAGCCTCGCTCCTATCACGAGGCTTCGTAGCTCAGTTCCAGGTCTCAGTCTTTATCTAAAGGGACACTGGTTTGAACTCGTCAAAATCTGAATGCTTTCTAGGGCTTCATTTTCTTTATATGGCTCTAACTGCTGCTCAACTGCAAGATTCGACACATACCTTTGGAGCCGCTTGTTGACAGGACTACCTTCCGTCTCTAACCATATTCGTAAAGTGTATTTTGAAGCAGTTCTATTTAAGAGCGAATTTTTTTAATCACCGCGTGGGAGGTGGCACATGATCGGAAAAATCACTATCCTCATATTTCGCTCAGAGATACCTTAGGGTAAGTCTATAAACGTGGTATAATTTTTTTGTTCAGAGCTGTTTTTATTTTCTAGAAAATCACCAAACACTGTATCGAGCCCAAACCGCCATAAAATGGCCTAAATGAAGTCGACGAGTAGGGCAACAAAACCTTTATTCCTCAAAAGCACAAAAGAAAGCAAGTCTTTCTGAATTTTACCTATTTGTATACGAGGTATTAAAAAATGATTTGAATCTAATAACGGGCTTGTTAACATAACTATGAATTATTGGCGAATATTTGAAAATAGCCAAAATTTGATTGATTAAAAATTAAAATTTTGGAGCAGTTTTTCAATAAAAATTTTTCCTACCTGGTATAACTCGGAATCGCTTGAGATGAGCATTTTTACAAAGTGGAAAGAATGTTCTTTCCATGGATATAAAAATTAATTTGGGGCTCTTAATTACTGCGAAGAAGTAGCCCGGTCTATTTCGTGCAAATCGCAATGCCGCCATGTAAACAACCGCAGATAATCCAATTAGGCTTTTTATTATCAAAGCCGTAATTCCAACAAAATCTTATCGCTTTGACCTATACTAGATTGTAAACTGGATTTCTTAAGCTCACCTGGCGAAAAACACCTTTCTAAGATTGGTTCCTTGCCTCAATCTTGTTATAAAGAGACTTGACAACAGCTTCGATAGTACATATACAGGCGGTGTATACCAAATCACAGTGAAAACATCTCACGAAGGTTCCTGCCGGAAACGTCGCATTGCTGGACAGTTATAACCATATTTCAGCTTGGAACACACATATTTTACCAGTCTTCCTTTCACAATAAGAATGGAAGTTTGTTTTTTATAGAACGAGCCAGAGCATCCTGACAGATGAAATGAATCATTGACGTTCGTTTTTTGCGATGGTGTCACGCAATAACATGTCACTCGAAAGGAGGCTCGGTTACCAATACGCTCTTATTTTCTTTCCTTCTTATCCCCTATTTTTTATTTCCGGGAAAAAGTTTTAAATCCAGAACTTAAAATTACCGTTGTTTGCATTTTTTAAGCGCGATACCACTCATGCGTCACCCTAGACTGCTAAATGAATTAGGTATATTTACTACAGCATAGAGGAAATTTCACTGCATTAATTTTTAACGACGTAAAAAAATGTGTTATCCTATTTTGTAAATTGTGAAGGCTTTTTCATTGCTCAAATATTCTGGAAGTTACGGAGGGGGGGGGGAGGGCTGAATCCGCACCCCCAGTCTGAATAGGGTTAAGAATGTTAAAATTACGAAAATAAGGGGAGGAAACTAGGAGGGAATAGGGCAGCTTCACCCCTCGCCGCCGCTTGCTGGCTGTTTCTTAATTCGTATTAATGTTATCACGTCGCAGGCTAGGAAACGAAATAGACTGCTAGCAGTTAAAAATCCAGAAAAAAGTCTGAGCTGGGAGGCCCGGTACCCAAGCGCCATTGTCATAGAGCCTGGAAATAGAAGGCGATGGTCACAAATGATACGAAACATGCGGAAAAGGAAAAACCACCAAAACTGCGAATTCTATGCAGCGTTGAGAAATTCCGTATCTTAATCCTTTTTTTTTTTTGGGCAGAAATAGTGTTTTTCTTAGATTTAAGGTAAAATTTTTTATTTATTACTTTACTAAACACCGGAGTGCAAGCTCATTTATCCACCAACGAAAATGCTGTTCATCGAGTGGTTTTGCCTTTTAAAGATCAAAAGTCAGCTGACGCAGTGAAAAGGCAATTATCAGATCTAAGCAAAAAAATAGATCACACTCTTCAACCTGTGTTCAAGAGTCGCAAAATATGTGAAGGCCTCGAGATCTGCGAGCCCAAACCACCTATAATTAGCCAACAATGCGTTGTGTACAATTGTAAATATGATTTGTGTGACGCAGAGTGTATCGGCTACACCAACCGAAAATTAGCCGAGTCCGTCGGGCTGCTCTGAAGATAGAAAAAAAGATGGCCTAATTAAAAAAAATCTTAAACAACGTATTTCACGCACTTTATTGCGAATTGATGGATGACTTTGCGGCACGCTAGCTTTTACACAATGGAATAAATTAATACAAAGAGAACTGTTGTTTGCCACTGATTCAATTTTTCAGAAGTTGGAAATTTGTCAAATAACTCCCCTGATTGCTGTACTGGAAGTAATTGAACTGATAAAAATACCTCCTGCACTAAAAATTCGAATATTCTGTGGCTTAAGTTCACAGGTACATGTGTCTAAAAGCTCGTCAGTGCCCAATCATTGCAGATCGTTTGCCTTAAGCGACCCCAAGGATCCTGCATATCAGTCTGTCTGCGAGCATGACCACAATGACGCATGTGACCGCTGCGACCTTCTATCTGAGACCTTACTTCAAATTGAGGCAGGCCTGGCGGCGCAGACTGAAAATCTATCATCTGTAGAAAAGGAAGATCTTCTCTTCAGGGTGAAGCAAGCCAAGAAAGCCATCTGGGCTTGGAAGTCACACCTTCTTCGCTCTGTCAACCAAGATTCTGCTCGAGTGGAGCTTTTGGAGCAACTAGATGAAACTTCAGTGCTGCTAATGCAAGATTGGGCCATGAAATATTTGCCCAGAAAGTACAGAGAGAGCCAGACCGACTGGTTTGGGAAACGTGGTATCCCCTGGCATGTGACAGTAGCGACAAAGCGCGAAGGGGATGAGATGCAAATGCTTACATTTGTTCACATTTTTAAACCGTGCAATCAAGACAACTGTGCTGTACTCGCAGTGATGGCAGATGTTATACGGCAGCTCAAGATCACAGTACCCAATCTAGCGTCCGTGTATTATCGGCAGGACAATGCCGGATGTTATCACTGTGGAGCAACCATTGTGTGCGCAAGAGTCCTCGGCGAGCAGTTCGGCGTATCCATAAAGCGCCTTGATTTCTCGGATCCCCAAGGGGGAAAAGGGCCTTGCGATAGAAAGGCTGCTACGATCAAATCACATATGAGAGTTCAATTAAATTCTGGCAGCGATATTGAGACTCCCGCTCAGATGTCTGATGCAATTCTTTCCTCCGGGGGGAGTGTCCGCGGTTAACGTTACTCTGTGTGAATCAGCCACACCTCTTGAGCAATCTTTGAAGGTCAAAGGTGTGAGTTTGATTAACAATGTTGAGTATAACGGTGACGGAATTCGCGTGTGGAAGGCGTACGGTGTTGGCCCTGGGAAACTTTTAAAGTTGGAGAATCCACCGTTGTCGGAGCTTCCATCACTCACAAGTACTCAAACACATTCCAGTACCTTCACTTCAGTCAAGGCAAGAAGAAAAAACGTACAGCCTCAAGTTCATGAGGATCAAGTAGACCAAGAAGCTAACGCTGAATTCGTAGAAAATCTGACAGGTGTAGAAGAAGGACTCTTTGTTTGTCCTGAGGAGAGCTGCACACGGACATTCCTAAGGTATTCTTCAATGCAGCGACACTTAGATTGTGGTAAACACGAGCGAGCTCTAGAGCGCGAGACCTTAACAGACAGAGCTGTTAAGGTGTATGGAGAGAAACTGGAGGGACAGACCCCTTCAGTACCAGAGGTTATTGCAAACAGTAGACCTGACATCATACCAGATTCGTGCAGAAAAGTACCAATGGGCTGGGCACTAAAGGCTGCTGCCCCACGAAAGAGATTTACTTCCAGCCAGAAGGCCTATCTTACTGCCAAATTTAAACTGGGGGAACAATCAGGACAGAAAGCAGACCCTGCATCAGTTGCACGTGCGATGGTAAGCGCCAAAGATGCGAGTGGTAACCGCCTGTTTACAAGCGACGATTTCCTTACAGCAAATCAAATAGCTGCCTTCTTTTCCCGACTGGCTGCGAAAAAGACCCTCCAGGATGACGAGGAACTGTCTGATGACGACTTGGAGGCCGCTGCAAGTGAAGCAAGAATCCAAGAGCTGTCGAATACGGCTTTAAACGAACTGGCGCTTAGACACCCCATCACATATGATGCGTACAATCTTTGTGAAATGACAGCAAAGTCCAATTTAAAGAGCTTTTCCATTTCAGTGCTGAAGGATATTTGCTTATTTTTTAGCATTGATATCAGCGATATCTCCGTTCATCGTAAGCAGCCTTACGTGAGCAAGATCGAAGCCCTTTGTTTTAGCTGTACCTGTCAGCAGTGACGAACTACATATAGCTTGAATATATTGGTTTCATTGACCAGGAAAACACCTAAAGTATATGACACTGTATTCTTTTCCTTTCTTTC